AAGCCAGTTCAATATACGAGTAAGGCAGTTATTTTGATGTTAAATACATACACTTCAACTTTATTTGTATGTACAGATGTATGGATTTGGGACAGTATTCCTAAAATCAAAAACTATGGTAGCCGTACAACTGTAACACGAGAGGATGCAGATAACGCATCCTCGTTGTTATTTTGTTTTACAAGCAGTCTTAGAGGATTCCCCTTAACATTGTCCATTTGTTGCCATTTAACTGATTAAAATTAACCATTTTAGCAATTCCAAACAACACAAATAAATGATAAAGACGTGTCTGTCAGTGGCATTCGTCACAAATCTTCAACCAAGCTCAAATAAAACAAAATTTTCTATTCGACGCGCTTACTTTAATTATGTTTTCCGATTTAAAAAAAACGACTGAATTGATTTCATAATTCCTTTTTTATTAAATAGCTTCTTCTTCACAGCGGTGTTGTCATATAAATAAAATGAAATGAGGTAGAAAACCATACCAATTTAAAGGACATTTTACCTCGTTTTTACCACGACCTTTTGATATTCTTTAGATCACTAAACTTTTAACAAAAAATTAAAGACTTTAAAACTAAAAAATATAATTTTCTCTTACCGTAATTCTTCGATACACTATATCTTAGCATTCACTTTAGAAGTTATCATTTGGAAATTGTTCTATATCATTTTTAGTTTTAATTTTGTTAATAAATATGTATATGTCTCAAATGGTCCTAATTTATAATTATATTTATTCGAGTAAAGCAATGCTAATTATTATTCAATCTTATCTTTTAATGGCAAACAAATAAATTTCAAAATTCCATTATAAAACGGGTGGACCGTGGTATACAGGGGACAAACACGTATACTTAGAATATAGACGAATCGCGCCATCTAACGCTATCGTAGCAGTAGCTGCTGTGTGGACTGTGAACCACTGTACCCGGAATTGCTGAGTATTCATCATTCATCATCATTACAGCCCCTCACAAGTCCACTACTGAACATTGGCCCCCACCACATAGCACGGTTTCGAGCCAACTTATCATTGGGAGACACTATTGAGGTCATTGAGCATAGTGCTTAGGTCTTCCAGCAATTCTGCCATAAGGACTATATCGTCGGAAAATCGAAGATGAGTGATGTATATACACATCAAAAAAAGTTTGTGATCACTAGCAATAGGTGTTATATTTTTGAAATTTTACTTTATCAAGAAAAAATATTTATTACGTATCTTTTTTATAGAGAAATACATTTTTTGAAATTAAAATATAAAACTTTTAACATTTTTCAATAACAAAGATCCTAATATAATTGTTACAGAAAGAAAAATATTGTTTAACCAAATTTATAAAACAATTTATTTATAGGAGGTTTTTATTTAATACAATATATCTCCTCCCCTAGCTCTAACACATGCGGAGTTCCTCCCATGCCCACATGCTGAGGATCAAGTTATCCAGAATTCCTTGCGGTTACCTATCCCATTCTTGAATAGCAGCTTCCCTGATGTCTAACACTGTCTGAGGAGGTGGCTGACAGTTCCAAACAGCTCGTATAAGAACATCCCACGCGTTCGCTATTTGTAATGTCGTATTCTCGGAGAGCAGCATTGACTCGTTTAGCTTAATGTTCAGGCGCATTATCATCGACCAGTACGAATTGATGGCCATGGTTGACGAGGAATAGTCTGATAATTCTATCAATAGTGACTGTTTTGTACCCATCTGCCGTCATTGAGCCTCGATATAAGATCAAAGGCGTTCTAGCTCCAATCATAATTCCACCCCAACAGTGCATCAATTTCCCGCCTTGCTGAACGGTTCCAGTGGCAGTTCTTTGCCTTTCAGAGTCCTCCTAATCTTCTTCAATTTGCCGGAACCTAGCCCACTACAATCCACATCACTGACGTTGCCGTGAATTCAGAGATGCTCGCCAAGACCTCCGTGCTCACAAACATTGCATGGCAAAATATTTATTTAAATTGATAATTTCAACCATAAGTACGGCATAAAATATTTTTATAGGATAAGGCTGACAAGCGAGCACACAGTCCACACGATGGTTGCTGTGGTCTATAGACATCTACATTTATCTTTGTTTGCGAATCAAAATGCAGATGCGTTGTCACCCGTGAGGACTAAGATGGATTGCCTCTTCTCCAGTAAAAAGGGTCTCCGGTTCTCTACACTCACCGAACGAAACACATCATCATTAAGCTGCTATTTTACGCTGGTATTCGGTGAGAGCGTGGTCCTTGTCCAATTCAGTTCGTGCTACAACTATACTATTAATATAGCTTTAACATGGCTCTACCACGTATGGAAAAATATAACATTAAGATTTAATTTTATAACAAAAATATGTTACAAACCTTATTTTTTAGACGTGTAGAGCCTAAATTTTAGTGTATTAAATCAAAAGAATATTTTCTTCCTTAGAAAATTGCTCTGTAATAGTGACGTCCACTGATGTCAATCAATTTTTGTTCGATAATATGATTTTAGCTATACTCATACAATGAATTATTTAAGTAAAATCATTTTATCGAACAAGGACACAAAAACTTATTGACTCTCAAGGTGGTCCGTAAAATAGACTAATTTAATGTAAATCGGTAAGATATGATACCTTGAAAATGCGTGTTGGCGAACTTCACATGTCAAGTTACAGCAGAATTAAGCTGCTATTTTACGCTGGTATTCTGTAAGAGCTTGGTCCTTCTCCGGTCGAGCCGATCCATTCGTATTACAACCATAATATTTGCAACTTGCTTATACCATGTGGTGGTGGAGTGTCTTTTCAGATGGTGGCGGTATAAGAGAACTCATCACCACAGTTTGTTTTGTGAATGTGTATCTGGGTAATCTTTTGGTAAATATATACCTTACGATTCATGTACTACAATAAATAAACAAATAAATAAATATATAACGAAAGTGGAAGAAAAGGAAAGTAAATATTTTTTTATTTATTCCGTAATTTGGTCATTATCGCCTAAAGTAATCTCGAAGGCAAATGACTAATGCTCGCGCGTGACTCCAATTTTTTTGTTCGTTTTTGCATTCGAAATTAACAAACTACAAATAGCAAAAATTAACTTAACATAATTTAAAATTAAAAATATTGCACAACCGACTTCAATAAATATTATTAATGATACCTCTAAAACTATTGGTCAGACCTTGATCAAATTTATATGAAATTATATGAGGAACACCATCTTTCAAACTTAGAATAATAACACCTAGAACGATAGTTCCCTACAAAGCGGACGTTCAAAAGTGGGGCAGGAACAAAATCTATGTATGCGTTATCAACTAGTGTTTACGCTAGACGAAACACACCCAAGTGAAGAAATAATGTGGCCAATACATTAAATTTTCCCGAAAAGTAGGGAAGTTGAAACTATATTGGACTAATAGTTACAACGTAACGTATGACTCATACAGATGTGAAAATAAGTTTGTTTGAATTCTATTATCGCCGTGTAGCCCGCTAAATTCAAAATATTTTTGAATAGGATATTTGCCTATCTAGCCAAGTGAGATACTTTTATGAACCATATAAATGTGATTGCATCATATTTTTCTTCGTAACTGTATAGAGATATAATTTTAGCTATACTCATACAATGAATTGTTTAAGTAAAATCATTTTATCGAACAAGGACACAAAAACTTATTGACTCTCAAGGTGGTCCGTAAAATAGACTAATTTAATATAAATCGGTAAGATATGATACCTTGAATTGTTAAGAATGGTTTGGATATGTTAATTTTATTCAATATAATTAATTTTATTTAAAAAAAAGTTAAAGTTATAGCCTATATACGTCCCACTCCTGGATACAGGCCTCCCCACATTTCTAAGTGGGTATTAGGGCAAAGAAGTTTCCGCCGCGCTGGCGCAATGCGTGTTGGCGAACTTCACATGTCTTCGAAATTTTTTTTCTTATTTCTCAGATATGCAGTTTTTCTCATGATGTTTTCCTTCACCACCGAACACGTGGTAAATCAGCCCTTAAAATTGCAGAACATGGTATTTGCGTATTAGTAACTATTAGGCCAGCGCACGCGGCACGCTACATATCTACGTCAATATGAGGGCAAACCACATATCAGAGTGGACTCTGAGTCAGATATAGCTAAGCTGCGAGAAATGACTGTATGAGATCTCCGGTAGAATTTTAGTTACTACTTACATTGATTTTATTTAATATCAAATATTAATGATTATTTCTTTGATTATATACAATGATATTTATATTATATATATATATATATATATATATATATATATATATATATATATATATATATCATTGTATATATTTTACTAAATGGTACGACATACATTCTCATTACTATTTTAACCGCACTGTATATTTTTACAATAGATGGTTTTTCTCGAACAATTTGTGGGATGGCTCTCAATAGCTATTGTTTAAATCGGAACTATAGATGTGACAATGAATTTTTCCTCTTTAAAAATGCCTCAATCACAGAATCAAATTCTATCAGATATGGATAATATTAGGGTGGCTTTATCTTTTGTGTGTGATGTTTTAAAATTCAATGATATTGTCAGGAAATCCTGTAATTCTTTGAATATCATTTCACAAAATATACGTAGCGTCTATAAAAACCTGGATGGCTTTATGGAATATATATCACAACTTTCATTTGAACCGGATATTATAAAACTAACAGAATGTCGCCTTGATGTTAATAAGCCTGTTCCTCGGTTTCCAGGTTACAAATGTCATTTCTCAAAAAAAATGTTCAATCCAAAATGATGGTATAACAGTTTATTCTAAACACTCAATTGATTGTATAATAACAGAACCTGATTCAAATGGTGGTAACTATCTTCTGATTAAAATAAATCCAGACATAGTAATATTAGCGGTATATAGATCACAATCCTATTATTATATTGACAACTTTTTAGATTCTGTAGAAAAAATTATTCGTCCCTTAAAATCTAGTAACATATTTACTATGGGCGATATAAATATAAATATTATTCAAGGCAATAAAGACAAAGACGGTGAACCTTATTTAAATTTAACTGCAGGATTAGGTCTTTTACCAGGTCATACCTATCCCACCCATATCAATAATTGTTTAGACGATGTTATGGTGAAAACAGTATTAAACACTCAAATAATGGTACTCGATAGCGTAATCACTGATCACTCCTTAATCTTAACAAATGTTTCTTTGAACCCCAAACGCAAGCCTAATAATATTTTTATAGATAAAATAAATCATGATGATGCCATCAAATCTATAGAGTCTGCTGATTTTTCTTTAATATCTTCAACTTCAAATGCAGACACGGCTGCCGAAAAACTTGTTGATTTACTAACCTCTGCTATAAAGAAAACTACTGTTAAAATTAAGATTCCTAGAGCGAAACGAACGCTTAAGGCCTGGATGACGTCTGGACTGATAAGGTGTATCCGTCACCGTGATAAACTTCACTAAAAACTGAAAAAGAACCCTGAAAATGAAATACTTCAAATTTCTTATAAGCGTTACAGGAATTACTGCAATTCCTTGTTAAGTAAGCTCAAGCGCCTATATTAAAAAAGTCTTTTGGCAAATGCAAAGAACAGTAAAGCAACTTGGTCTGCAATCAAAGCCATCTCCGGGTGTGATACTAAAAATAATTACGCTGAAAATTTGATCATTAAAAATCCTACAGATTCAGTGGAGAGAGCTAATTACTATTTTTCAACTTTAGGTAGAAAATTAGCTGATAAAATTCTAGCAAACGGTACTAAACCTGCTAATGTTAATACTATGCCCTGGTCGCTTAATTCATTTGTGCTCGATTCTCCTGACGAGTTAGAAGTTGAAACAATATTGATGGGTCTTATAAATGATTGTGCTATTGGTTGGGATTCCGTTCCTGCTGTCTTCCTTAAAATGACCAAGGATAAAATACTTCTGCCACTCACAACCCTTTTTAAAATCTGTTTTGAACAAGGATGCTTTCCAAAAGTTTTTAAAAGATCTCTCATTACTCCTGTTTACAAGAATGGGGCTCGGGACGTTGTTGAAAATTACAGGCCGATCTCTGTGCTACCTGCTCTGTCAAAAATCTTGGAAAGGATGCTTAATAATCGTTTGGTTAAGTTTCTAAACAAATATAATATCTTATCCAATATGCAGTTCGGATTCAGAGTGGGTGTTAGTACAGAAGATGCTGATCGTAATTTGACCGAATTTGTAACAAATAAACTGGACCATAAACAGAAGTGTGTAGGGATTTTCCTGGATTTAGCCAAAGCTCGATACCCATTCTTGTAAACAAACTAGAAAAAACTGGAATAAGAGATTCTGCCCTTTCCATTTTTAAGGATTTTCTATATGACCGTGTGCAGAGAGTAAAAATAAAAAAAAATTAGCTCAGACGCCTGTGTCACGTTTGGAGTCCCTCAAGGCAGTATCCTGGGACCAATTCTCTTCTTGGTTTACATTAACGACCTGTGCTCAATGACACTAACTCAAGGCAAGCTATTTACTTATGCTGATGATACATCCTTAATTTTCTACGGAGAGACTTGGTCTGAGGTCCAGGAGTTTGCTATGAGGGGTCTTCAAACTGTGGCAAATTGGCTTGAGGAGAATTAACTGACTCTTAATATATCTAATTCCACCTATATGCAGTTCCATATAACCAACACCCAAGCTGTTGACGATATACAACTAACAGTACACTCTTGTGGTTTACAGTCAACAGATATTTGTCTTTGCCCTAAAATGATCTAATTGAAATCAGTTAAATATCTCGGAGTAATTATAGACGAGAAACTAAGCTGGCTCCCACACATAAACCTTATTTCATCGCGCACTAGGATACTTATTTGGACATTTAAATGGCTAATGTACATCAGAAACAGAAACAGAAACTTTTTTATTCAATATAGATTATAAATAATACTTATTGAAAGTCACTCTTTTGTTTGATTACCACTGGTTCGGAAAAAACCTCTGTCCTGGGAAGAACCAGCAAGAAACCCAGCGGGACTTTTTTTTTAAAATAACAGCTTACAATCATGATGTTACACAAATTAACAACACAACAAATTAGAAATAGCTTGGTAGCGATCACCTCATTTCCAGGGGTTATTATCATCCATAAATTCCTTAATATTATAATAACCCTTTTTATACAAACTTAGTTTAATAAAGTTTTTGAACTTTGAACAGGTCAAACTGTGTATATTTTCTGGAATTTTGTTGTAAAAGCGTATACATCGCCCCAAGAATGAATTACTGACTCGATGGAGTCGAGTAACTGGTACTACTAGCTTGTGTCTGTTCCTAGTATTTACAGAATGAATATCACTTATTTTTGTAAAACTACTTTTATTTTTGTGTACGTACATTACATTTTCATAAATGTATTGAGAGGCCAAAGTTAATATATTAATTTCCTTAAATTTTTGTCGCAGCGACTCTTTAGGGTTTAAATCATAAATTGCTCTTATGGCCCTCTTTTGCAAAACAAATATAATTTCAGTGTCAGTTGCGTGTACATTGATTTATTAAGAACTGTATACTACTCCTTAGCACAATCAATTATAGGTTATTGTATAGTTGCCTGGGGTGGTTGCCTGGCATTCAAAACATTTATGATAAAATTAGAAAGAGCTCAAAGATGTCTCCTAAGAACTATGACTTTTAAACCGTTCAGGTATCCTACAAATCTGCTCTACCAAGAATGAAAACTGTTGACTGTCAGGCAATTGTACATACAACAATTGATCTTAATGAAACATGCTCTAACTCCTTATGACCCTGAGATCTGTCGTAATAAACGCAGAATACCGGATGTACTGATTATTAGCATATGTCCAACTGGTTTTTCTAGGCGACAAAATTCATATCTATCCTCAGTGCTTTATAATAAGTTAAATAGAAATTTAAATTTTTATCCTCTTTCCAGACATGAATGTAAAGTTAAAGTTCGAGATTGGTTATTGTCACTTGATTATAGTGAAACAGAAAATAAAATTTGTAAAAATGTGTGTAAGTAATGTATGTCGTATAATAAAAGTACAATAAATTATAAATTTGTAAAATTATGATATTAAAAAAATAACAATCTTTGTTTAAAGCATCTATTTATTCTTTATAGGTTATAGTGGATAAAATATATATTCTGTATAAAATTATATAATAATATATTCTATTTATATATATATATATATGTGTGTGTGTGTGTGTGTATGTATATGTATGTATGTGTATGTATATATATATATATATATATATATATATATATTACAAATTGCAAACTAATTTTAATATACCTACGATTATATAAAATATAATAACGACTAAAGAGTCGCATTAAGTTATAGACTATGTTTCGTTGTAAATAAATACATTGAAATAGCTAAACAGTTACTTAAAAATGTTAAGCTTAGTTACTTAATTAATCGTTAATATTAAAATACTGTTGTCACAACACTGGGAGAGGCCGCTGATCCCTAAGGTACAGACTTGTCTAGTTTAGGGATCAGAGTCTTCACTTTATTATTGTACTTTTATTTTAATAAATGATTATAATTTCAAAAAAATAATTATCGATCAAATTATACAGACTAAGGAGTTTAGTAAAAAATCGGAACATTTGGCATCCCGATCAAGGGTGAATTGGGACGTGTCACCAGATCCCTGAAAATCAGGACCTCCCGCGCAAATCGGCACAACTAGCAACTCTAATGTGTATAATCTATGCTAGTGCCCAGCACTTTGTATGAGGTACCTACTTATCGGCCGTTTTGTATTTTCCAGTTTATTTTATTAACATTGCTTTTACTTTTGATTATTGAGTTTATTGTTGTGTTTTCTTCTGATTTCAAAACAGAGGAGGTACTCAATCCGACTGTATGTTCTTTCTTTTATGCGTTACCTCATAACTTTGTTCTACTTAAAGTGATTTCGATAATTCTTTTTTTATTTGAAAGCTTAGAATAATAACACCCAGAAGCCGAGTCCACGTCCGTAATGTGAAGCAACTCAAACTAAGCCAGTATGGCTTAGTTCAATACTCGGCCCGTTAGTGCTCAAAGTCGTGTCGTGTTGACAACACCTCTCGAAATTTTAATTAAAAATGACGTTTTATGCAGTGAACGGATGTCAGTACATCAGTCATTACAAATGTTGTCAAAGTAAAAGAAAAATTCTCCCATCTTTTTTTAATTAAAACTAAAACACGTCAATAGGAATGAGGGCATCCACGACCTTTTCTGCTACCAGGACAGCGCCACTTTACAGTGTGGTAAAATATTTGACAGATTTCATAGCGGGGATAATAATTTCTTAAGAAAATGTAATACTTAAGGTTTTTTTCTGTATTATTAGTTATATTTTATATTAATTACATTAGAAATGAATAAACCAAACTATATTTAAAAGCCGATCTTTTTTTTAAAAAGAGTTATAAAGTGCAAAAAATTAAAAAAATCAAACCTCTACGTTGTAGAGCCAAGCTGCAGCTATATTATGGTTGTAGCACGAATGGGTCGGCTCGACCGGGGAAGGACCACGCTCTCACAGAAGACCAGCGTAAAATAGCAGCTTAACGCTGCTGTGTTTCGTATGGTGAGTGTAGAGAACCGGAGACACTTTTTACTGGCAAAGAGGCATTCCATCTTAGTCCTCACGGGTGACAACGCATCTGCATCTTGAGTCTTTATTGAGGATAGATGTAGATGTCTATGGGTCACAGTAACCACTTACCATCAGGTGGACTGTGTGCTCGTTTGTCACCCAATCCTATAAAAAAAAAAAAAACCTCTGACGCATTGTGTTGTGTAATAAGTTGTGTTTTAGATAATGAGAAACTATTATTTAAAACTAATTTCTCAATTAACTGACACTATGTTACAAAAAACTTTACCTCAGTCACAACTAGTGACATCTGGTGAGTGGAAGATTATTAGCCCTCAATAAATAGAGTACGTAACGCAACTTGATAACTTATTACTACGAGGGCTGCCAACATTGAAAAAATGCAACGCATTGTTTTTATTTATCGATGGCTCCGTGGCGCAGTGGCTTAGCAATGAGTTATTGCGCCGGGGGACGCGGGTTCGAATCCCGCACAGAACAAGTATTTGTATGCCTTACAAATCATTGTTCCGGGTCTGGATGTTTGTCCTCGTGCAATTTATGTTTGTAAGCTGCCTCCACGATACAGGAGAAAATTCTAGTGTGGGGGTAACGTTAAAAATATAGATGATGAATTTTAAGGAAACTTTTTTATATTGTCTGATAATAAATGCATGTTTGGTTTTCGTTTTATGTTTCTTTCTGATCCGATCATTGCGGCTTGTGAGACAGTAAACATCAGATACAATCGAAATGAAAGCAGTTGGAAGCCCACTAAAATACAAAAATTTGTTCTTTACATTTTTTATGGGATACGGTGATATACGAACACATGGTCCACCTGATGGTAAATGGACGCTGTGACCCATATTCATCTACAACTATCCTCAATAAAGAGATGCGTTGTCATCCGTGAGGACTGTGTAAAACCTACCAAAATTAAAATTTTCTTGCGTTTTTCGTATTGTAGCTTACATTATGCATTCAGTGAGTTGCGGTACACCATTACTCGACGATTATAAAAAAAAATTGTTAAAAACAAACTGAATAATAGATACTGAATACGGTCAATCGTTCGTCGAACAGTCGTGTGTCAGATATCGGGCGGGTGTATATCGAACTTGCATTAGTCATATAATTATAACGTCTCTATACAGTTACGAAGAAAAATATGATGCAATCACATTTATATGGTTCATAAAAGTATCTCACTTGGCTAGATAGGCAAATATCCTATTCAAAAATATTTTGAATTTAATGAGCTACACG